GCATTGACAAAAGTATGGATTGCACCTCAACATAAAGAAAGAAAAGCTGGAAGCTGAAAAAATTAAAAATAGACGTGTTTAAAACTCCCTTTCAAATACGTGTTTGTGTTTGTATGATGTGTGCATATTTATGAAGGTATATGATCTCAAACATAGCCTGACTGTGAGAATTACCTACAAAGAAAATGAGCATAGGGTAATTGGCTTTTCTGACTGGATTTTTGTTCATCTAGGGAATTACTCACATAGGCTACACGGATCTTCCCAGTCGAATGGCCACTCAGGCCAGCACCCTATATTCCAACAACATCACCAAACTCCTGAAGGCCATCAGCCCTGACAAAGATCATTTCTATTTTGAAGTGAAAGATGACATTGACTTTGGTACGATGGGTCATGTCATCAGAGGAACTGTAGTGATGAAGGTAAGTAAAGAGTTCTGTTTCTTCCTATGTTTTCACTGTCAGTTTGTGTGAGGATTTCTGTTTATGGCAGAATACTATTTTGGAATTGACATATATTCCAATAAAATATTTATGTGTTGAGTTTATGCCGGAAAAAATGCAAAAAGATAGAAAATATTACAAAGATTTATATACCCACATGACTCACCCGAAATATATGCTGCTTTTGAACAACAGAAGCAAAAACAAAATAAAACAGGAATGAATAAAGTAAAAAATAAGTTCCTCTGACCCATCCCACTTTTAAGGGTTTGATCTATATTCTTCTATATATATTGTATGCACATATAAATTACACATCTACCTATGTATGTGTAATACATACATTTATGTACCCATACATTATACATTTGTATTATATTATAAATTATTATGTTTACATAAAATTATTTTTAAAAGACCAGGTTTTTTCCGTGGTATAGCTATTCTCTGTGTTTTTGAAATGGTGGGATTGGATTTTAAAAAATACTATTTTCTAATTTCTGTTAGGATGGCAAAGTGATTTTCCCAGCTCCTACGCCGAAGAATATTCTTCAAGGTTCCCCAGTAAAACAGAAGACAGTGGCTGAGCTGGAAGCTGAAAAAGCAGCTACTATTACTCCCTTCAGGAAAACAATGACATC